GACATTTCATGTTTTAAGGCAGAGATGTGCAATAGAATTTTGTGTGAAGCTCAGAAAAAGCGGTGAAGAGGCGTTAAAGGTGTTACAGAATGTGTATGGAACAGAAACAATGAGCCGAGCTACAATGTTTCAGGTGTTGAAACATTTTAAAGATGGAAACAAAAGGGTATTTGATGGCGCTCGAAGAGGGAGATTAAGCACTATCTTCTGGAAAAGTGATGCTGATATTGTATTTTGACCCAAAAGGCATTATTCTTCAGCACAGGCTAACTCAGAAGCCAACTGTGAATGGTGTTCACTATGGATATATACTTGAAACTTATTTGGGGAATGCAATTCAGAAAGGAGTGATCAGAGTTCTTGAAGAAAAGGTGGTGTCTGCTTCAAGACAATGCACGACCACATATTGCACATGTGGCCAGGGCTGCGGAGTCATTAAAAATGTGGCGACTCCTACCTCCTTATAAACTCATAAGAACACTTTCGCTACCGTGTGAGCCGCCAGTGAGATTCAACAACGCGTTGAGGCACATGGTGTGGGAATAATGCTTTGTAACTTTGTCTCTGGCGCCTTAAGAATGCAGGCTGTCTACAAATCAACCGATTTCTGCAGTAAGCATTAGTTATGTATTTAAATATAGGTTATAATTCTAAAAAGTAGCCTGATGATCCATGTGGTGGTGATGAAATCTGTTGTGGTACCATTTACAATTTTAGTAGGTTTTCCATTATTAATACATATTGAGCTTTTATGAAGGAGCCAGAATCAGAGGTTTCAATACCGACTCCACAGCCCTGCATGTGGCGACGGAGGCGGTACCAGACATCGATGTACCACCTGTAGAACGCACCCTACAGTTCAGACCTTGCTCCATTTGATTTTTGAGCATTTCCAGCGCTTGAACATGACACCGAAGTTAAACAAGCTACTGCTGCTGCCCTACACAAGATGTCTGGAAATGGGCTACTGCACGTGTTTGAGAAGTTGGTGAGAAGCTGCAAAAAATTTATAGCACGTGAAGGCCGTAAACTTTGGCAGAGAAAGTGCCAAAGCCTCAGGAATCCTCAGATGGTGAGTAATGCGAGTAGTCGCATTACTTTTCAGACCCCCCTCGTTAAGGGGGAGCATGTGTGCTGTTGGTAATAATGCTCGTATAGTGCATCAAAGATCAGGTTATGACTGTATGGATATGGTTCAGCTGTTGGTTTGGTTTTGGGTACAGTATATGTGGTGTTTCTCTAATAGTTTAAACATCTTTCTTTACTCACTGTTTTTATTATTTCCAAGTATCTTCCGTGGGGCCATAGGATTCTCCCGTATTATGGATATGATGTGCATTACCTGATGATCTCTATTGTTCGATATTGAACATACATGTTCTTTAATCCTCTCTTGAAGTGTGTGATCTCTTTGTGCTATATAATCGGTGTGCAGTCTCTACAGTTTAGTTCATTTGCACCTGCATTATCAGTTGTTTTTGTGATTTAGGTTTTTGGTGTTTTTTTAAAGGTTTCAGTGGTTTGCAAAGCTATTTTTATCAGTATTTTCTTTTAATTTTGTTATATGCAAGGTTTGTTTGCATGTGTATACAACCATTTCTCTTTATGACCTTTGTTTGTTTATTTGTGCTAATATGTTGTTTTTATGTTGATGTTTTGTGTTTACTGTTGTTAAATTTGTTCCAAATTATATTTGTATTATTTTTTTGGTTATTTGCCAAGTGGAATTTAATTTCTTACTTTCATTCTTAATTTTATGGTTGTTATTTTTGTTACGTGATTGAACAGGCAATTGTCGCTGTTTTGTGCTCTGTAGAGTGACGACATGTTTGATGTACAGTCATACTTACTAGATAATGCTTCCAGTATGTATTAGTTAATTGATCTTGTAATGCGAATGTGTGGAGATTCCTTTCTGGCAGGTATTCACTGAATTATTTAATGATATTTAGATGACTTCAGCCGTAAAGGGTTAAGGGAAGGACAGTCGTTGATGCTTTTTGACAGTTGGGGTACAGAGCACAATATTTGGAACAATGAAGGAAATAATGGGGATTGGAGAAGATGCTTAATGTGGAGGTACTTAATCATTTGTCTACATCAAATATTAATTATTGTGGTTATCAAATCAAGGAGGATGTGTGGGGAATGTAAACATTAGAAATGAATACAAAAATTCAGTTCAAAAACCTGAATAGATAAGACCCCTTGGTGGATGAAGACATAGATTGGAGGATAATATTAAAATAGTTCTTAAAGAAGTAGGATATAATCACAAGGACTGGATCCTTGTGGCTAAGGATAGCAACCAGTGGCAGGCTCTTTGAACTCACTCTGTAAACCTTTGGGTTCAGTATATGCGGCTAATTTCTTGACTGCCTGAGAACTAGTCTGTTCAGCAGACTTAGTTCAGTAAAGAAATGAAATATTCCATTTTACGTTTAATTTGTTAAGTTGTTGTTGAAGCTGTTCGTACAGCGCATGCACTACCACAGTTGTAATCTAATTCTTTCAGTCCAGATATATATAAACGCTCTTTTATGATATAATTATCAGATCCTCCAAGTTACCTATGACCCAAGAAAGGTTATCGATCCTTGTTCTAGCCCTTTATTTTGCAAACATGTCTTATTATGTTATGATTACATTTTACATGGAAATTGTAAGTGGACAAATCGTGGTCATGATCATCAGGTATGGAGGTTTCGCATAACTTCATGCTACTGAAAGTTGTACCTGGTTCATAGATTGAGACATGTGTAACGTCTTCTTTCGCAGATCATGAATATAAAAATTGAGGATTTTGCAGATACACAAGAAGAGGAGGATCGTATAGCAAAACTTCCATTAATTAAGTCTGAACATAAGGTGAGTTGTACATTACAATTAACTTTTAAGAAATCTGTAGGATTACCTATTGTGTCTCTCTTATCCATCTCCACATGAAGCAATTCCACTCTGGTGAATGGATTTTGAAGTGTCCTTTGCAAAATGGTGCTAGAGGACTGAATTTTGTTGCTCAGCATTTATGAAATACCATTTTAAATTTCTGTTGCATCAGTTTTAAAACATGTGAAATTAAACATTGACCAAACTGAGAAATATTTTAGACAAATGTGGCCCATTAATCTTTTATAATTTGTGGGCTTTGTATTCAAAATACTGTCTGCTATACAATTCACAGGAACTGTGAATGTTTTAAGATTATCATTTATTTCTTTTGTGTCTTGATACAAATTGAACTGATATATTAGAACAGTGTTGTCATTTCTGTGAAGCATCATTAACTCTTTCCATATGGGAAGATAACATTGCTTATGTAATATTAAACTTTTATCAGGAGATAAATTTGCAGCCATGGAGACTTTTAATGAAGAATCGAATTGTATCATAACATTTTGTGCTTTGTTTTTTACTTTGTTTCCATAGACCCAAATATTCCCCTTTGCTCTGTTGTTTCGGCACAGCTTTTATTGAATCAAATACTTAAGAGATTAACTTGACTTCATATAAAACATTGGCCGGGAGGGAGGAGCGTTAATGTGATACTCTGCTCAGTATTTCTGTCCAAAACATACAAAATGTGATTTCGTTATTGTGTGCACATTATGAGTGATGTGTACATGTAACTATTGATTAAATCCCCGTAACAAAAGTTGTTGTGACCATTTAATATGTGCTTTACCGCCTCATTACATAAACCAAGCCATTGTCACTGCATTGGCATGAACATGCCAAGTAAACTAATGTGGATGTGAAGATTCCTGTCTTCTGGGTTGTTGCGCTGTGTAGTCTGGTTGATGTTAGCGAACGTTTCGGAGGTCATACTGCCTCCGTCATCAGGGCCCTGATGACCGAGGCAGTATGACCTCCGAAACGTTGGCTAACATAAACCAGACTACACAGCGCAACAACCCAGAAGACAGGACTCTTCAAACTCACTGCTGTGAACCTCAAGTCTTCCATGTCTTCCATGTCTTTGATTTCATATTACATGGAGAGGATGTGAAGATTCCTGTCTTCTGGGTTG